CACATGTGACAAATGGGACTTTGCTAGAGAGACTGAGGTCTGTCTATCCCTAGGAATTAGCATCAGGGGTCATACTGGGAAAAAAGGAATAAGGTAGAAGTATTCTTGCAAGCTCCACCCACAAAATAAGCTCCACCTATTTGGGAAGCAAAAGTGAGACATCTCTTTCAGTAGATTGCACAGATGTTCAAAATATAATAACAGGCCCTCAGCTGGACTCTGCTAGCCTCCTGGAGTTTGAGATCCCCTATGAGAAGTTAAAATATACCCAAGATCTCTGCTTGGCTCCTCAGGTATGGTTTCCCTTTGCTGGGGCTCAGATGTCCTGTTGGGCTCTGCTTGGCTCCTTCTTGATTGAGCCAATAAGTGCTAGTGTTTTCCCAAACCCAAGCCACTCCCGATGCCAAAATGAGTTGAGCTGTCACTCAGAGTAAATGACATGCATCTTCAGAGTAGTACAGTATACTTCCTCCGCTTTCTTACACACTTTGATGAGCAGTGAAATAGTTAGCAATGTTGACATGTAAAGTATCATCACTGGCCTCTGATTTAACATCTACTGAGATGAATGGGTTTTTTCCCCACACCTCAGAGCTATTGTTTCAGACTCTGAAAACTCAGGCAGACAGTTACATGGGTTTGCTCTTGGTTCCCATTTCTGAAGTTATCTTTGCAACAGTCAGAACCACAGACTTATATTTGCTCTTAAATGAAAACAGAGGTCCTGGAGAACAAGACTACAGGTTACGGGAGGTGCTGGCATGTTGTGGTACTACATACTCCCTCATTTCGAGCCCTGAGTAGCATTCACATGCAGGGCTAAGAAGCCCAGAAGTGCAACAGAGGAAAAAAGATTTAGATACAGGAAACAAAAACAGAGTTTAGAAAGGGAGATTTTTACCCGAATATTTAGAGTTATGTTGAAGGCTTTAGGATCCAGTAGGACTCCCAATTCCTAGCATGGCTTCAAACTCCCTACACACTTTTGACACAACCTGGGCAGATTGTACCGGCAGACCATTTGATGTTATAGTGACTCAGAGACAAAGCCAGAATGTGCCAGATCCTCAGCTGGTGTCAATGGAAAATATAACTCCTTTGAAGCCATAGGTCAATTTGGGTTCATTATTGGTAACTTCCTACCACAGTCATAATATTGGCAGAATGCCCTCCATCAAAAAGATGTCTCCAGGATGGATGTAGATGATGCTGAGTGGGTTTTTTTTAAACTTTCATTTTGTTTTAAAGTGATGTTTTGTCCTCTACAGGAAGTTCTGTAGCTGTTGAGAATTTAAATCTTCTCCTTTGCAAATTATTACTGCAGTTATATGTGGCCATCTGATGGTTCCAACACTGTGTGCAGGGGGAAATACACAAATCAATGCTCCCCTATGCTGTATGTATCTCTTGAAGCCAGATCCACAAACTGCCTTTAAATCATTTAGTATGGTCTTGTGTTCACAGTCTCCTTTGATGTAAATGTAGAGGAAGCCAAACAGACTTGTCTTATAGTTTCTGAGAAACTACCATTAGTTCAAAATTATTTATCCTGAAAGCAGAATGACCTCTACTGACGTCAGTGCAGATAGATTCCTGGTTTTGTACTGGAATTTGTAGGAGACATAAGGGATGGATGAAATGGCTCAGGAAAGAAAAAAGCCATTCTGACCTTGAACCATTTGTACAGCACAACTCAGATTGAATTTATTATAAAGTTCAGCAAGGTTCAAATAAGTTTTGTTTCTCTCTAGTTTCCAGAAGGGGCTGCAACCAGACATGCCAAAATACTACAAAAGCTGGGCTCTCATCAGCTGCCTCCGGGAGCAGATACACCAGAAATCGTGCAGGAGAGCCCGTTCTTACAAGATTTCTACCTCATTTTTTTCAAGAGGTTGAAAGTCTGAATAAACTTTGTTGAGGCATCTCAACCTTTAAAAGCACATCCAAATCTGAACACCTAACCCTTAGAAGCACCCTTCCCCCAAACCAAATAGTGAAGCTTCTATATACAAATAAGGAGGAAGGGGATGTACAATTGCACATATACACACTCACATCCGTATATATAAGAAGTCTCTCTCTCTCTCTCTCTCTCTATATATATATATATATACGCACCACATACATATACATAAATCATACACATGTGCACACACACCACTATACACATGCACACATCAAGCATTCACATGTAAATACACTCACACACACACACAATTTTACCAAGACATACCGTTTCTGGGAAAGCTTTAAGACTTCATTTTTGAAAATAATTCTAACTTTGCAAAAAATTCAGAAATAAATAAGATACATGCCTACTTTAACCAAAGAATGAGCCAAGTGCTATGATCTCATGTAACAATTATTTGAACGTGTCAATGTTCTTTCCATGGCATGGTTAAAATTTCACTGATACTTGCTGCAGTACTAAATAGTAATAAAAATGATTTATGTGGAGTTGTATTGTAAGCATTGTATGAAAAGAGATAACAGGCATGCACCAATTTGTTTACAATAAAAATTTCTGTAAATCAGAGAGGTGTCTTTAGTCTCTGTTTGTTTTTGATTTAGTGCTGCAACAGGGCTCTGTTTACAAAAGGATATACGAGCCTATTTAGAAAGAACTGCAATATGGAACAGCAGTCAAGGTGAGTTTGTTTTAAATTAAGGCCTAGCAACCCTGATGTGGTGTGTGCCACTGAGTTAGGGAAAGGTTAGAGACTGAGAGCCAGATCCTTCTGTGTAGTGTGGCTACTATGAGCTGTGCAGCCAACGTATTCTGGCTTTAATCCCTATGTGTACAGCTCTGGAAGGATCATCCCTCAACTACCATTGATGTTAATGGGAACGGAAGGTGCTCAGCACCTCTCAGGAAGTGCTCAGAACCTTGAAAGATTGAACCCTAAAAGAACTGAGATAGAGCTAGTCTCTAAGGGAAAAAATACTAAATATAGAAACCAAACAACCTATTAGGGCAATGAGAACAAATCTGAATTATTTTAAAACATGCTGAAGGCGATTTCCCTCCATTTAAAACAGGAAATAATATTAAGGGGACTGGTAACACAAAAAGTGAAAAGAGATCCAGCTGCTTTTTTTCTAGACTCTTATGATTCCATTCTAATGCACCTAGAAATTTGTCTAACAAACCCTTCCCACAAATTCATTTGTGTGTTTCCAGAGAGGAGAATACCCATTGATCTTTGGTTAAGTTCTTATTTGCTCCCCCTACCCTGTGGATTGTAGAACCAGTGGCCAGAACTATGGCCTCATGATCCCAGTTGGTATAGAGGATCTGTTATTATCCTTATTTATATTGGGACTAATTTGCTACTTACTCACGAAGTGTTATCTCCAGAAATGGCATTTCAGGAGGTGGAATTATAGCTCACTAGAAGCCAGGTATCACTTTTAGGAGAACCATTTCTTTTTCTTGTATATATGTTACTCATGGGCCCAATTCTGCTACCCTTATTCATGTCAAGTAGTTCCAGACCCCCAGATAGTTCTATTGAGATCAGTGGGATTTCTCACAGGGTAAAGAACTACTCATTGTTAGCAAAGATGGTAACTGGGCCCTCTGTCATTAAATGGAAAATTAAACACACTCCTATCAGGGCCGGCTCCAGGCACCAGCTTAACAAGCAGGTGGTTGGGGCGGCCAAGGGAGAGGGGCGGCACCTGCGGCAATTCGGGGGCGGCAGGTCCCTCACTCCCTCTAGGAGCGAAGGACCTGCTGCTGAACTGCCGCAGCCGATCGCGGCTTTTTTTTTTTTTTTTTTTGCTTGGAGCGGCAGAAATGCTGGAGCCGGCCCTGACTCTTATATAAAACTAATCTGTAAATTGCAGCATAAAATTTGTCAGCAGGAATAATGCAAAGTTACATTTATAGAAATTTGGAAATGAACTTTTGTAAATGGACTGGAGTCTTTCAAAAAAGCTTTTAAAAGAGCAGTAGTGAAAACTGATTGGGTAATTTGTCAACTGCATTACATGAATGGCACAGTAACAGTAAACTGAGCTAATCTTGGATCACTCTATTGACAGGCCTTTATTATGGAGTGGTACTAATCTCTCCGTAGTTAGGTAGCTCTCCATTATAAGCTTGATTTTCAATCCCCACCTCAGAGGAGAAAAGAAACTGATCATCCTGAAATTGTGCATGCTGCATCTCACCCCAAGGCCATTTTTCAGGGAAGTTTGGTTAAATAAAAACAGATAAAGAGTTTTAAATTATGATATTTTGAAGATTTTGCTGAGATTTACTCTTTAAAAATAATTCTAGTGCTTTCTTTAGCTCATTGTGTCTCCAAAATGGCTTGGTCTAGAAACTCCAGATTTGCTGTAGCAGCCTTGTGGAGGCATAGGTATGTGACTAAGCATGTTCTGACCCCAAATCATCAACTCTCCCAGGAAAACTTCTGAGGGGAGTCTTTGGAGAGAGGACAAGCCCCACAAAGATTTTGTTATCAGAGCAGAGAGAGAACAGACACTATACACTTCAGCAGAGAACTAGAGAATGGCCCTCCTACCTGGAAGCCCCTAGTTTTAAAGTTCTGCACTGCAACTGACCTGGTTCCCTCTAGGAACTGGAGGACCAAGAACACTGTTAGTTTAACTTAACTCCACAGATTCCCCCACAACATCCCATTGGTGAAGGAGAGGGTGTGTGGAAGGGGCATCTGGGACCCCCAACGCCCAGAGGCAACTGAGCCCTCATTCCATGTGCAACAAGGAGATTCACATGTAGGATGGATTGCTGGCCCTACTGAAGTCAATGGGAGTTATGCTATTGACTCCAGTGGGGCCAGGATTTGTATAGATTCAGAGGTCTTTTCTGTGAACAGATGTATGGCCCATGCTCTGGCATTTAGTGCTGTGAACTTAATGCTGATTTTCTTTTCTTTAAATTCATTTATTTCCTAAAACCATATTGCAAAAGACAGGCCTTTTGTTCCCATACACCAGTCTTGTGATTTAGAAGACAAATTTTTACTTACCTGGGGGTGAGTGTTCATTCATAATAACTAGTGATGCTGGTGTGGGCCTTCTTTTCCTGATCTGTGAAAAACACAGGCCCAAGCAGAGTCATTAAAGATACCCACCACCCTACATCCAAACCAAAGTACAAGTCGTCAGGAGTCTTATTGAACAATGGCAATGGCAAAAGTAGGCACACGGAAAACAGCTTTCAAAATATTGTCTTAATAACTGTGAGTGTAATAATGATCAGAATCAATTCAGGTACAACATACCGCAGGATCAGTGTCATTGGGTAGGATTTTCAAAAATCCCTATGTGATTTAGGAGTATAAACCCCAGTGAAAGACCAAGTCACCTGAGTCACTTAAGGTATGTCCATGCTGCACACTCCTTTCAGCAGCATGTAGAGTACAGGCACTACATACCCCACTAGCATGGGTATAAATAGAGTGTAGATGGTGAGGCATTGCTTAGGCAAGTAGAGTAAAGATATGCCATGCCTGAACCCTGTGGGTAAGTACCTGACATGACTCTACTCACCAAACAATAACTCTCCCATCTACACAGCTGTTTGTAGCAGTATAGTGTCCTGCTGCATCCCTTCTGCTGGAGTTTTTGCACACCACAAGGAAAGGCTCTGGCAGTGGGGAAAGGCTTCAGCATGGGGGAAGCAGTGGGGAAAGGCTCTGGTAGCACTGCTCCGCTGGAGCTTTTCCCCACTGCAGGGAAAGGTTCCAGCAGTGGGGAAAGGCTCTGGCAGGGGGAAGGCAGCAGGGAAAGGCTCCAGTAGCTGCCAAGCCTTCCCCCACTGCCTTCCCCATCAGAGTTTTTCACTGATGCGTGTAGTTACACACTGCAGTGTGGACAAAACCTGCTTTTCACTGTGTTATGCAGCTACACAGACCCTGCCACCACAAGCGATGTGCAGTATAGACATAGTCTGAGGTCCTTTTGAAAACATAACCCCTTATCTCTCCTTCTGGGAAAGAACTTAAGTTGCTATGTGAGCATGGATTTCTAGCACTACCATAGTTATCACCAACAATGATTAACTGAAATACCTTTTTTAAATCTCTCTTTCTATCATTGACGTTGCTCTGACTGTGAAGCATATAAGCAGAGCAAAGAAATAATAACTAGATAAATAATGTCAGTGAATACAGGAACATTAAAAAAATTCCTATCAATCTATTTCCAAGCAATTAAAAAAACCCTTATATTAATATTTCCAAAAGGAAATTTCTTAAGCATGCTATATTGCAGCTGTTTATATATGTAAATCTGAATCGCCATTGTATGGGTTTCTTTTCAGTTAAAATCTTCACAAGTTCGCTTGTGGTTTTATGGTTCCATTAACATCCAATAGGAATGTTAGACAATTAACTAACATGATGTTGGAATAGTCTCCAATAATGGCCGTATTTGTGAAGAAAGCTTTTCTAAACTTTATATCACAGCCCCCAGGCTATTGGCACTTATGCAGCAGAATATAATAGTATGCGCAAGAATATTTAACCCAGACACCATTTTGAGACAATCTCTCTGTCAATGTGTTGGCTCTTTTTTAATTGCTTAGGCAACATCTGTAGATAGCTAGGGCCCAATTCTGCTCTCAGTGGGGGAAATCCACAGTAACTCAATCAGGTTCAGACAGTTACTCCAGATTGTATTGATGTAATTTCTTCAAACATCTAAAATAAAACTATAGGGCACCTAGCCCATAAATTAAAAGTGCAACATAATCAAAAGGGCTTCCCATAAATGTGGGGCAGAACTTGGCTCATAATATTTTATAGCCCATAGGGATTTAATTATGAGCCCAATTCTGCAGTCCTTGAAGGCAATAACTTTCATTGGTTTCAAAAGGTGGTGGGCCAGGTCTTGCTCAAGTTAATAGAAGGATCATTCTCAAAATTATAAATATATTTTAGTAAAACCATCTCTGGGCAGGTTGAAGGCTGCAGGAAGTTCTTTGTACCCCCCCTTCCCCATCTCCCCTTCCTCTATGGCTGCCAACAACAACTCATCTCTTCCTGGCAAAGCCCGCCTCCTCTGAGGAGACATTACATCAGCAGATAAGGAAAAAGATGTCTGTCCTCCAGATGTAAACGATTACACTGCCATCACTCTACAGTGGAATTGTCAAAGCCCTATTACATCTTTGGTATCATTTAAAACTAGACGTATCAAAACAACAGTAAATGTACAACAGGGAACAATGATATAGTAACAGTGATGGACTAGACCAACTAACAGGTATTATCCACCTCTGTCTTCTAAGATATTATGGTTATCATTCCTTATATATAGAAGTAGCTCTACACATCTGTCTATCTATCTATATATATATATAAAAAAAATTAATGAGAGGTCAGCCGGTAAGAAATGCAGGATTGGACAGTATATAAATTTACAGGTGACTCAGATTCGGCTGTCATATATATATATATATGTACAGTATATTTATATTTTTGAGTGTGCGTATGTATATATAGTCACACATATAGCCACATCCACATACATATGCATGAAATACTTAGCAAACAGTAAAAGTGATATAAAGAATTCAGTATTAAAAGTCTTAAAATGTGGGGGAATAACTCAGTAAGTTACTATCTTGCAGCATTTAAATGAGTTGCTCCAACACCAAAATAAATTGCAAGCGGGCTATCTCCTAACCAGGCTCTGCAATATTATAAAATGTATATTTTGGTGTATATGAAACAATACATTTCAGCTAATTTTCCCATATTGATTCAGCTCGAAATTATGTATTCAGACACAGTGTGCTTATCTCTTGTGCAAAACAAATTAAAAGAATAAAGTCAGACAGCTAATATATACTTAGAAAAACCTGTGAGAGTTAAAATGTGCATTCTCACAATCGGACAAATCCTGCTCTGTGTTACATTGGCTATTCCAGCATAACTACATTGATTTCCATGGATTTAATCTAAATTTACACCAGCGTAAACTGGAGAAGAATTTAGGCCATGAATATTACCTATTCTCATCCCACACCCAGTCCCCCAAGTAGTGAAAGATACCTGTCTTCCTTACCTGTTCAGCTGCTTCAGGATCTATTTGACTCTGAAATAATGGCACAGCAAATTGGATCTTTTTAGGACTGTTTGGCTCCATAATAATGATGAGGAGACTCAGAAGAGAAAAGAGCCCAGACTACAAGAAATCAGAGAGTCGTCTCAGTGATTATCCCCTGGCGCACTCCCTAAAGCCACACTGAATGCTTCCTAATAACAGCTGTAACTCCCGAGTTAGCAAGTGAATCTGCAGGAGCTGAGCAATCCCTTATTCCATATCCACAGTGATGCCTCTGGCTGGCTCTTTTCCCCCGCTCCTTCCAATCCTTCAGATCCTCTCCACACAAAGCTGAAAGAACAATAAGCTAATTGTGTAGCAGGTCGCTTCTACACATGCCAAGCATTCACTCAGAAGCTAATTGAAAATGCAATACTAGCCTTGCATGGCCTGGTGCCCTGGGATTTGAAAAAGAGGATCTATCCACGGTACATTACTAACTGGCTGCTCAAAAATGCAACGTAAGCTCCCTCCGAGTATTGCTGATGGGTCATTAATTATTGATGAACACAAATCGGGAAGTTTTGCGATTTTGGGGGTGGAGGTAGCAGTAGTGCTGGGTGGGATGCAATAATTCCATCTCTTTTATAGTAGTTACAGAATGCCTCCCTCTTCTTGTGCATCCCTCTTTAAAACATGCTTCTCCCAGGAAGCTTTTCAGTGATAATTCTACATCAACAGCTCCACTTCTTTGATCTGAACCATTAGCTGATGGATTATGTGGGCCAGCCCCATATTGTCAGTCTCAGCTTTCGGACTGTATGCTCTTTGGAGCAAGGACTGTGCCTTCCTGTAAGCTTACAGAGCATCTTGCATCTAGCAGAAGCTTGATAAATAACAGCAATAATAATTCCTTGTGAATCTAATTTGGTTTTACTCTGCATTTCACCAGCATACAAAAACAGTAAAGGAGGAGCATATTCAGAAATCAGTGACCAGAGCTATCCGCTTTGCTTGGGTTATGTGACCTCTGAATGGAGGTGTGCTGCAGCTGTTGCAATGTTTCCTGGGCTAAAAACTGCAGCTATGGCCAGAGCCTCCCACTGACAGTTCATGGAGCAAAGGAGTGGGTGTGAGCCTGCAGCTGAAAATGATGCAGTCAGTCTCCTGTGGCACGTAGCCACCAACTAGGGAGAAAGAGCGAGTGAGATGAGGAATGAACAACAGTTTAAAGAAGACAGACAGGCACAGAGATATACTGGAACAACTTTAGCTACGATGAAGATTAATGTAATTTAGGGCTTGAGAATGAATGAAGGACAGTTAGATTAGTTACATGGTGTGACAGTGAATGATTTGGAGAGTGATTGTGCAAGATGAAGTGAGGAAACAATTTAGTTCAAGCCAAGGATTAAAGGAATTTAATTTTTAACCAAAGGTAGGTCTGTACTGCAAACTTTCCCCTAGTTTAACAGCATTCAGATCTGAGGTAATGGACTGAAATAGAGATGGGGGAAGCTGTAGAGTTCAGCTGCATTTGAACATCACCAAAATTTAGAGGTGCTTGGAGCTGTGACAGTGGGTTTTAACACCACAGCTGGGAATTTCAAAAGCATGCTTCATTAGCCTAACTCTATTCCCATGTAAGTCAATGGGCATGTTACTATTGATTTCAATGGAGCAGAGTTGGAACATACAGAAAATATGAACAGAACTAGAAGTAACCAAAAACCATACTATCCTTAAACACAATCGTAAATCAGAAAGTCAGGAATGGACCATCTATTTGGCTTAGATGTACTGAAGTGACAATGCAGTAACTGCATACTGTGGCCATGTATTTAGATTTTTACCTCAAGCAGGAAAGTAATGATGGAGGGCCCAGTGGTTAGGGCATTAATTAAAAATGTGTTCAATTCCCTGCTCTTCTTGCATGATCCTGGGCAAGTCACTTAGTCTCTCCGTGCCTCAGTTTTCCATCTCAAAAATGGGGATAACAGTACTTCCCTTCCTCACAGTGTTGTTGTGAGGATACATACATTAAAGATTGTGAAGTATTTTGAGATCTACTGATTAAAAGTGCTATATAAGTGCTAGCTATTATTATATAGACAAATACTCACATTTGTTAGGTAGGTAGGCATGTGTTCCCTAGAAACAATATAGGGGCGAGAATATATGTGGTTGATTGGAAGGTTAATGAAATCAAGGCAATTCACAATGACAGCAGAAACTCCACTTTATAATATGCAGGTATTACAGGGGTTTCTGAGCATGGTTTTGTCTACAGTGTGAAAATGTTAGCAAACATGGTAACTAACACATTTTAATTAGCAACCTGCTAGATTCCAATCTGCACCTAGTGTAGACAGGGACAAGTCATGTTTAAAAACATACTAACTGATTGCAGTTTACAACAGGTGTTGACAAAGAGCCATTGAGGGATCATGATTAGCATTTGCCAGAAATTGCCATGTCTTACCACCTACATGGAAGAAAGCTGTTTTCCCCTTTGGTTGGTGACAGACAGTACATATATTTAAGGAGCTGTGTATATCTGTACACACATCACGTGACAATTATGAGGATCAATATGACATAAGCTTTTATTAAAGACCTCACATGGCCCCCTCTTTCGTGAACTAGAATGTACATGCCAAAATCAGGGGATTCTTGTAATCCCCTTTACCTGTTGGCATTGAGGAGTTCTAAGGGTCACACACTGCCAATCTCATCTGGGGGAAAATTCCATTCTGACCCCATATATGGCATTCAGTTCCACAAAGTATTTAGACTCCTAACTTCCATTGATTTCAAGCCTAGATACCTTTGTGGATCTGGGCCATAAACCCATAGAATGTGAATAAGAACTAGCCAGCCAAACAGCCGAAAGAGAGAATGCTCAGAGCCACCTCAGAGCCCTGGTCCTCCCCGTCTAGTGTCCCATCTCCACCTGTGGCCATCTCTTGATGCTTCATAGGAAGGAGACAAAAAACCCAGAAAACACGGGGGAGGGGGGGGGAAACTTCCTCGCTAACCCCTGAAGCCAACCCCTGAAGTCCTGAATCATAAGAGTTTAGGAATATCAGACATGAACGAGAAGGGACCTCCAGGGCTGCCCAGCCCTTCCCCATCATCACAAGCAACCCCATCAAACAATCCCACTCATAAATTTGTCCATCTCTTTCTTAAAACTAAGTAAGTTGTTTGCCCTCAAAACTCCTATAGGGAGACTGTTCTATTTTGGGAAATTCTATGGCATGTGTTATATAGGAGGCCAAACCAGATGATCACAATGGTTCCATTTGGCCTTGGAATCTATTAAGCCTCACTCCTCTGATGTCTAGAAACCTTCTTCTAATTTCCAGCCTGAACTTATTGATGACCAGTTTGTACCCATGTGTTTTTGGGCCAACATTGTCCTTTAACTTAAATAGCTTTTCACCCTCCTCTGGTGTTTACACACAGACACAAGCACATGCACACACACGTCTTTATAGAGAGCAATCAAATCCCCTCTGAATCTTTGTTTTCCTAGGCTAAATGAGGCAAATTCTTCCACTCTCCTCTCATAATATAGACACCCCCCCATTCAACTAACCATCCTAGTAGCTCTTCTCTGTACTTGTTCCATTTGAATTAATCTTTCTTGAACATGTACACAGAACTGTACACAGTATTGCAAATGAGGTCATGCCAGTGCCTTGTATTAAGGCATTAATACTTCTCTATCTCTACTGAAAATGCCTTTCCTTAATCATGCTCGGATTGCATTTGCCTTTTTTGCAGCTGCATCACATAGGTAGCTCACAGTCATCCTGTGATTAACCAACACACCCCGATATCTGATAAACCACTATTTCATTTTAAAAACACTGGCATTCAGAAGGACAGTAAGAGAGATCTAGTATCTTCTAACATCTGATAGGGGCCGCTGCAGGAGACCAGTCTGATTCAGTATGGCAATTTCTATGTTCACTTTAAAAAAAGGCCAATCGGTCACATTTGTGAGACTGAAGGAGAAGTGAGCAACAGAGCCTGAGGTCTGTGTTCATCTCTCCTGGTGAAGTAAATTTGTCCAGTACATTTTGGGGGTTTTGACCACATCTCAAAATTATTAGTATCTAAATGACTCAAACCTCTTACCTAAATATGATATTGCCATTTTCCCTATCACACCCCTTCAGTAATTTTCCAGTGTAGTGCTCCCTCTCTCTGAGCCTATTCTTAGGATCTAGGTTTATTGCATGTTGTAGCATAATGTGTTTGTTATAAATTAGGAGTTTAAATGGACCTTAGTGGGGTTTTCAAGAAAAAGAACATACAATAATAGCCCTAAGCCAGTTAGCATAGAGTTTATCAAAAGGAAACATTCATACCAGCATTCAAAACAGTAGGGAGACCTGACTCTGAGCTCTTATATACCTGTATAACCCCTTGGCTTCATGTGTTACCCGTAATTTATAGCACTGTCAGTGAGATCACAGGCAGGCCCTTAGTCTCCACACAAAGAGGACTTGCATTTTCTATGGCCTGCATGGTATCCTGGATTATAGCTGAAAGTATATGTAAGCACTGCCCAATCTTTTAGCTCATCAGCTGACTGCTGTTTTTAGTACTCAAGCTGCACTTTACTGTTTACTGTTTTAGTTTCCTTCATGATTCAGCTAAAACTGCCAGGAAAAGAAAAAACAAATTTGCAATAATCAAAAATCACCATTTAGTTTAAGGATATTTCCCTGTCTGTACTGAGGCTGTGAACCTGCATACTGGATGTGACGTTTTTGTGCCCCTTGCTGTAATTATCAGCTATCAAAGTATGGATCTTTATGGACTTTTGTTTGACATGTTTTTATTCTTTTGGGAGATATATTTGCATTAGCCACAGATTAAGGCCACTCCATATTATTAAAAATGAAACTCAGCAAAAATTAACTTTAAACACTGCAACCCTAAAGGGGTTTGTTCTCTGTTCTCTTTTCAGACCCTTCCTCTGGCCTTTGTCCTATCTTCTCAGCTTGAGCCTTCTCTCACTCGAGATTTTTAGGCACCCAGATTGGTAAAGTGGAAGAGCAAGGACCACTTTGAAAATTACAGTCCTCAAGGCTTCACCTCCAGGGAGCATGATCCAATTTCTCTGAAACTAATGCAGGGAAGTGTAAGTTACACTTCTGTGAACCTCCAAGGTCTTTTGTACTGCAGGGAGGATTCAGCTTGAGGAAGGGCGGGTGTTGTTTGCACTGTACCTTCTCTCGGGGTTCCTGTCAGAGGACAGCTTTGTACCTTGGTAGCAGCTCCATTAGTGGGAGTCTTTGCAAAGAGGTGGTGAATCAGTTTCCTAGTCAAGTACTCTGACCACGCTCTCGTCATACCTAGAACTATCCACTTCGGGTCCATGATGGACCCCTAATGCAGCT